GAGGCTAACGCAGACAGACACAGGGATACAGTCTCCCTGAGGTTACCATGAGAGTGCGGTGCTGAGGCTAACGCAGACAGACACAGGGATACAGTCTCCCTGAGGTTACCGTGAGAGTGCGGCGCTGAGGCTAACGCAGACAGACACAGGGATACCGTCTCCCTGAGGTTACCGTGACAGTGCGGTGCTGAGGCTAACGCAGACAGACACAGGGATATAGTCTCCCTGAGGTTACCGTGAGAGTGTGGTGCTGAGGCTAACACAGAGCTTCCCCCCGGCCTGGAACTCCGAGCCCTGAGCTGGATAACCACAGACAGCCTCTGAGTTTGTCCTTATGGTCCACTCACCGAGCCAGTGACCATGTCTCCCTTAGCTGCTCCTCAGGCGGCCGTGCACGCTGCATGGAACGTTTGAAACTTTCCCCTGTCGGACCACTTAGCGGGAATGTGGTCGGGACAAACCACACTGTGCGCCATGTGGTTGGTTTAATCCGGGACTGGCGCATGTCCCGGTCAGGGCCTTGGAATTTCAGCTGGGGTTGTTTGTGACATTCCCCGTACCAGTGGGGAGTGCTGTGGGAAGCAACCCAACATCAAGGGGGGGGGGGGCTTATCTTCCGTAGAAAGCCAGCCAGGCCGCGATGGTGGAAATTTGCTGAAACGGTCACAACGGATTCCCGGGTTCCCTAATGTATTGAACAGAATGAGGTAACCGCAGCAGTGTGCTATCTTTGCTGACCGGGGTAGGTAGGGAGGAGCTGTTCCCAGCCATAAAAGAATAAAGGCCGTGAGGGTGTCGATTTAGAGTCATGTGCAAAAGGAGCAATGGAGATAGGAGCGAAAGAAAAAACATTTTCACACAGGGTGGGGTATGCACTGCCTGGAAATATGGTGGAGGCACAATCTGTTGATACGTTCGAGAGAGGCGTTAGATGTTTATTCTTTTCTTTATTCGTTAACGGGATGAGGGGCGATGCTGACCAGGCAGCATTTATTGCCCATCCCTAATTGCCCAGAGGGCAGCTGAGAGTCAACCACATTGCTGTGGGCCTGGAGTCACATGTAGGCCAGACCAGGTAAGGATGGCAGTTTCCTTCCCTTAAGGACATTAGTGAGCCAG